TGAAGTATTTATTAGATTAATTGTATCTTGGTGGGCATTTATGAGATTAGTTGTAGACCTAGTTCCTAGAATGCATCTGTTTATCTTCTCTAGGATTAATCATGTCTCTCTATTAATTGTATCTCTGAATCTGTATTTTTATCTCCTATAAATAAGAGAACACAAGAAGATGATTTCAGACTCTCAAAATCAGTTCTTTATTTTCCTTTTTTCTATTTCAAGTGCCTGTCTCTGTTTTTTTCTGGCATTAATTGCCGTTTGCCACCATCTGCCGCCGTTCGCTGCCGGTGCAGTTCTTCTCCGACGCCATTTCTCTCTTTTACACTTGGGTTAGGCTCGCCTCGAGGAGCGCAACCCAACCCCAGTGACCGCTTCCTCCATCTCTGCCTCACGCGCCGCCACGCGCCACCTCCGTCTACGGTTTCCTCTGTGCGTGAGCCTCATGCGCCGCCCTTCCGGTGGCTGTTTTGCTCCAGTCCACTCTATCCGGCTCGCCTCGCCTCGTCGCCCTGGTGCCAGATCTGCACTTTATTTTGTGTTCTCTGTCACAAAACGTGGTGGGTCTGCGTTTTTCTCTCTGCCTCTCTCGGTCCTCTCTCTGCTTCCATAGACAGCACGCTGGTCCTCTCGTTTCCTGAAAAATGTCAGGACCTGTGTCTGTATCTTTTTCTGGGACTCCGACTATAACCACAAAAAAATTAAATGGGAAAAATTATTTGCCTTGGGCTTCCTTTGTTGAGCTCTAATTTTTAGGACAAGGAGTTCGTGATCATCTAGAAGAAGATGGAAGTACTCAACCAGCAGATCAGGCTCCTCAATGGAAGAAATTGGATTATCAACTCTGTGCACTATTATGGCAATCTGTTGAACCAAATATTTTGAGCACTCTTCGATCCTTCAAGACATGTAATTCTTTTTGGAAAAAGGCCCAAAATATATTTGCTAACGATATTCAACAACATTATGATTCTGCTAATAGACTAGGCTCCCTTAAGCAAGAGGATAATTCCATGATGTCCTTTGTTGCTGAAGCTCAATCAGCAGTTGAGGAATTAAAAATGTTTCTGGAGGTAGAATCATTAGAGGAAAGAAAGACGAAGCTGGATAAATTCTATATGGTAATGATTCTTAGGGTTATGAATCCAGAATTTAGTCATGTTAGAGACCAGATTCTAACTAGAGAAGAAGTTCCTTCTACGGAGAGTTTAATCACAAGGCTACTTCGTGTTCCTTATATCAAAAGCAAAAACAGTCAGGAACTTGCTGATTCTTTCGTCATGATTTCTGCTCGTGGAAGAGGTAATCACAGCAATAGAGGACGTGGTGGGAGAGGACGTCCTTAGTGCTCTCATTGCAAAAGAATGAGATATACTAAGGAAAATTGCTTTGCTTTGCACGACTTTCCTGATAAGGCAGCTAATACCTCAAAATCTGAAGTTGATGAGCCCAAGTTCTCTCATGAAGAGTATTAAGAATATTTAAGGATGAAATCAACCAATTTGGCTCAAGCATCTACAACACCAAATTCGTCAACCGCTTGCATTTCACAATCTGTGGAAAGTCAAAATCCGTGGATTATTGACTCAGGTGCTTTTGACCACATGTTTGGTAATACCTCTTTATTCTCCTCTCTTTCATTTCCTAAAACCTCCCATATCATATCTTTAGCTAATGGATCTAAAGTAGCTTCTAAAGGAATTGGTCAAGTATCCGTCTCTTCTTCTTTAAACCTTCAAAATGTTCTTTGTGTTCCTTCTTTTCCATTCAGTCTTGTTTCTGTAAGCCAATTAACTAAATCATTGAATTGCTCAGTAACCTTTAATGCCAATTGTTTTGTTATCCAGAAACGTGGTACGGGTCGACTGATTGGAGAAGGACATGAATCTAGAGGCTTATACTACCTTAGGACTAAGTCATCTGTATCTTGTGTTGCATCCTTATCCCCAAAACTGTTACATGAGCGATTAGGGCATCCTCATTTAGCAAAAAAAAAAAAAATGGTTTCTGAACTTCAGAACCTTCAAACTTTTGAATGTGAATCCTGTCAACTAGGGAAACATACCAGGTCTTCCTTTCCAAATCATTCTGAATCTAGATGCGATTCTGCTTTTAGTATTGTTCATTCAGATATATGGGGACCTAGTCGTGTTTCATCTTTTGCTTTTAGATATTCTGTTACTTTTATTGATGGGTTTTTTAGATATACTTGGGTTTATCTTATGAAAGATCGTTCTGAACTATTGTCTATCTTTAAGTCTTTCCTTCATGAAATCAAAACTCAATTTGGAAAAGTAATCAAAGTTTTACGAAGTGATAATGTCAAAGAGTACTTTTCTAATGATTTTTCTAATGTCCTAAATTCTCAAGGCATTTTACACCAGTCCACGTGTCCTCACACACCACAACAAAATTGTATAATAGAACGAAAAAATAGACATTTGGTTAAAACTGCACGTATCTTATTGCTTGGTGCCAATATGCCTATTCATCATTGGGGAGATGCTATTCTAACTGCATGCTTTCTCATTAATAGAATGCCATCTTCTTCTCTTGACAATAAAGTTCCACACTCTATTCTATTTCCAAAGGAACCAATTTTTCATGTTTCTCCTAAGGTATTTGGATGTATATGTTTTGTTCATGACATGTCTCCTGGCTTAGATAAACCCTCACCTAGAGCTATCAAATGTGTCTTCTTGGGGTATTCTCGTCTTCAAAAAGGATATCGGTGTTATTCTCCTGAAACCAAGAGGTACTACATGTCTGCGAATGTCACTTCTTTTGAATCATCCTCCTTTTTCCCTTATTCTATGCAGGATATTGATTCTGTCCAAAATGTTTTTCCTGTTCCCTTAGTTGAATCATTTGTACCTCCTATTCCTGACACCCAAAATCCCAACCAAAATACTCTAGACTCATCATCACAGCCTATCATCACCTATCAACGCAGGAACCAGGTGAACAATCCCATTCCCCAAGATGAGCCATCCATAACAGGTCCTTCTCCATCATCCTCTAATACCACGGCTCCTGATAATGATGACTCCAGTTGGCCCATTGCCATTCGCAAAGGTACTTGTTCTACTCGTAATCCTCATCCCATTTACAATTTTCTTAGTTATCATAGATTGTCTCCTTCCTATTGTTCTTTTATTTCCTCTGTATCCTCTATTACAATTCCCAAAAATGTGGTCGAAGCACTTGATCATCCTGGATGGCGACAAGCCATGATTTCTGAAATGCAGACTCTTAATCATAGCAAAACATGGGAGCTTGTTCCTCTCCCTTCGAGAAAGAAAACAGTTGGTTGTCGTTGGATCTATGTTATTAAAGTTGGTCCCAATGGTTAGGTTGATCGTCTCAAAGCCAGGTTAGTGGCTAAAGGGTACTCTCAAATATATGGACTTGATTATTGTGATACTTTTTCTCCTGTAGCCAAAATGACCACTGTCCTCCTGTTCCTTGCCATGACCGCCATTCGTCATTGGCCTCTTCATCAATTGGATATTAAAAATTCCCTTTTGCATGGTGACTTAGAAGAAGTTTACATGGAGCAACCTCCTGGATTTGTTGCTCAGGGGAAGTCTGGTTTGGTTTGTAAATTACGTCGATCCCTCTATGGCCTAAAACAGTCTCCACGTGCTTGGTTTGGAAAATTAAGCTCTATTGTTCAAGCTTTTGGATTAAAACGCAGCGAAGCAGATCATTCAGTGTTTTATTTGCCCCTGGCAAACATGTTTATTTAATTGTGTACTGCTAAAATATCTCAGCTAAAAGAGCACTTGAGTAGTCATTTTCAGACCAAGGATCTTGTAAATCTAAAATATTTCTTGGGTATTGATGTAGCTCAATCTAGAGAAGGTATTGTCATCTCTCAAAGGAAGTATGCTCTAGATATTCTAAAAGAGACAGATATGATTGATTGCAAACCTGCGGACAGTCCTATGGATCCAAATTTGAAGTTAATGGCAGGACAGAGTGAAGTTTTCTCTGACTCAGAAAGATATACAAGACTGGTTGGGAAACTTATTTATTTGACTATTACTAGACTTGATTTGTCTTTTGCAGTTAGTGTTGTCAGCCAATTTATGCAAGCTCCTTGTGTGGATCATTGGAATGCTATCATTCGAATCTTAAGATACATTAAAAAAGCTCCAGGGCAAGGTTTATTATATGAAGATAAGGGAAATACCCAAATTTTTGGGTACTGTGATGCTAACTGGGTTGGATCTCCCATGGATAGGCGTTCCACTACATGCTATTGTGTTTTCTTTGGAGGTAATATCATTTCATGGAAAAGCAAAAAGTAAAACGTTGTTGCCCGATCCTCTGCTGAAGCTGAATATAGGGCAATGGCGTCTCTTACTTGTGAACTTGTTTGGGTAAAACAATTCTTGCAAGAATTGAACTTCTGTGAGATTCAATCTATGAAGATGTATTGTGATAATCAAGTTGTTCTTCACATTGCTTCCAATCCAGTATTTCATGAGAGGACTAAGCATATTGAGATTGACTGTCACTTTATTTGGGAGAAGTTGTTGACTAAAGAAATTTGTACTGAGTTTGTTGGTTCCAATGATCAGCTTGCAGATGCATTAACAAAATCTTTGAGAGGACCTTGAATGGAATTCATTTGTTCAAAGCTTGGTACATTCAATTTGTATGCTTCAGCTTGAGGGGGAGTGTTGAAGTATTTATTAGATTAATTGTATCTTGGTGGACATTTATGAAATTAGTTGTAGACCTAGTTCCTAGAATGCATCTGTTTATCTTCTCTAGGATTAATCATGGCTCTCTATTAATTGTATCTATGAATCTGAATTTTTATCTCCTATAAATAAGAGAACACAAGAAGATGATTTCAGACTCTCAAAATCAGTTCTTTATTTTCCTTTTTCTATTTCAAGTCCATTTAAAAATAGGGAAATAGTAACACATTAAGTATCATCAATTAAACGGTAGTTAATTACATTTCATTAAAATAAGGAATCTTCCAACAAATGCTTAATTTGCATTGCAGCCTCGATGTGAGTTGCATGTGGTTTTATTTCTGTCTAAATTATGTCTGGCTTATACTAGACACAGTCAAGCATATTTATAGTTGATCTCAATTTTTCTGTTGTCATTGAATAGGAAGTGTGTAATGGTTGCTCCTCCCCAGAAGAGTTGACCACTATTTTTACTTTTGATATTTTAAGTTAATTCAGTAATGTGTGCAGAGACTGTTCCGCCTTGTGTTTCCTGGTCTTCACCAGTGTTGGAAAAATTCCCGTAACTTCTTAATTCCAATTTGTTTTTAAGATTTAGTTTAATAAATATGGAATGCCATTTTTCCTGATTCCTCTTTCCTTCTATGTGTATAACGATCAATTTAATCAAATGTAGGTAGACTTATTTATGTGTGGTAAAGGTTTGTGTAACAACTTATATTAAGATTTTTCCCCCTCTAAATTGTGCTCAGGGAACTAGTAGGCCTACCCATTACCATGTGCTGCTAGATGAAGTTGGTTTCTCTCCAGATCAGCTGCAGGAGCTTGTCCATTCATTATCATATGTGTAAGGGGAAAATTTGGACCTATTTTATTGCATTGGACTTGCTTTATAGTTTGAGTTGAGATCAATCTAACCTAAATAAATGACTGAATATGACAGGTATCAGAGGAGCACTACTGCCATTTCTGTTGGTAATCAATTTTTGTACATTATTTATAAGTTTGTTTATCCATGATTGAAACTTAGCTATAAATTATCTTCCTATCTGCAGTTGCCCCAATATGCTATGCACACTTGGCTGCATCCCAGCTGGGACATTTCATGAAATTTGAGGACAAGTCTGAGACAACTTCAAGCCATGGTGGAGTGAGTGGTTCTGGTGCTGTTCCCGTCCCTCAGTTGCCTCCGTTGCAGGACAATGTGCGAAACACAATGTTCTTTTGTTGAGCGAGCCCTTTACATGCCTTGTTTCTTCTGATGAAAATACTGTACATAAGTAATGTTCCTATCTTTAGCTTCGTATGGACGGATGAAGTTATGTGGTAGACTGAAAATACACTTGTCTAGATGGAGGCTTGCGTTCTAGGACAAGCCTTTTCATGTGTTTCTTGGCTCTCTATCTATTTTGCAGTAGCAAAGACATCGATCTCTTTTATTGCAGTCCTTTTTATGGAGTTAATCTTTTGGATTCTCGTTAGGTTCGGTTTTGGGGTTTGTGGGTGGATCATATCCACACTTATAGATATGTGGGTAGTTGGATGCAGATATCTGGTTTTATGAGTAAAAAAGGTTTAATGGTCTAATTTTATTTATATTTTAAAATAGGTTATAATTTTTAGTTTAGTCTGATTGTATATTCTCCAAATGAGTTAATGAGTCTATTTTTGTTTGATTAGAAATAAAGTTTTTATGTGATGTTTGGAGTGAATGATGAGTTTATATTTTTGGATCAGTCTATTATGTTAAACCTAAACCTATTTTGTTACTTTTATATGTTATGGCTAATTGAAATGAAGGGGCAAAATTTAGATCAAATTTGTTATTAACATTTTGTTGTGTTGTAGTAGTTGGTGCTATACCAAGAGACGTTTGGGTTAAACCCAAATGTCAACAGTTTAGCCTTTGCAATGTTTTCCAGGGCGTGTTTGATTAAAAGAAACTTATGGTGTGGTTGGTAAAAGGAAAATTTATTGGTATCCAAAAATTATGATTTTTGTTCTTGATGAATAGTGGAGACCATGAGTATATGGTGTTAGAATTATAGGTTGAAATTAAGAGGGGGTGAATTGATTATTACAATTTTTTTTTTGCAAATCATAGATATAGATTAATAATTTAAAAAATTAAGAAATCTGATTAAGTATTAAATCAAGAAAATAAGATTGAATTGAATAAAGTTCACGCTAAATTAAAGAAAGTGATGGAAGAAAAAAGAAATACCAAGAATTATATAGGTTTATTCTAATCACTAGATTGAATAGTTTGATTTACAGAATAAAAATACAGAAAACCTAACCTGCATTAAGAACCACATTCTAGTTCTTGAACTTAACCTGCAACTAAATTTCAGTTGCAAAACTAAACCTGGTTTTTGAATCAAAACTGTAACCAAATTCTAGTTGTAGAACTAAACCTACATCAAGAACCAAATTTTAATTGTAGAACCAAACCTGCACTAATAATCAAATTCTAGTTCTTGAACTCAACCTACAATCAAATTCCAGTTCTTGAATCTAAACTGCAACCAAATTCTGGTTGCGGAACCATTGCCCAATCTTTCAGACACCAAGACAATACAAAATATAATTGAAAGAATGAAGAAACTAGAATAATAAAACCTGATTATGTAGATGTAGAAATCCTATTACAGAATGAATTTCTTTACAAGTAAGAATACAAAAATGCCTCAAGAAAGAAATTCAAAAATTTTCACCTGAAAATAACATATTTCTCTCTTGAAAAGATCTCAATTAATTATTTGAATGATTTTTAAAAGATGTGTTTCGAAAAGGTTGACGCAAATATGTTTTATATAGAGATTTTTCTAACAAACTAGTTTAATTAATTAATCGATTAATTCATCTTTTAATCGATTAAAAATATTGATTCTAACCTGTTTTAATTGAAGAAAATATCATTTAATTGATTAAAATGTTTTACAACACTTTCCAAAAATATTTTAATTGATAAAAACGTGATTTAATCAATTAAAACAGATTACTAAAAAATTCTTAAGTGATTTTAATCGATTAATTCAAAGTTTATTCGATTAAAATAATGACAGAACATTTTCTAAAGCTTCTTAAGTGTTTTTAATCAATTAATTCAATATGTATCGATGTAAATTGTGACAAAATATGTTTACACTTAGTTTAAGTGATTTTAAACGATTATTTCGAAAATACATAAGTTAAAAATGTGTCAGAAGTATTTTTTAGCTGATTTTAATCGATTAATCTGTAAATATGTCAGTTAAATCTAAGACTTAAGAGCATATTAACCGATTAAAGGATTTTGAATAGATTAAAATGTTTAGAGGCATTTTTATTCCTTTCAAATGATAAAACCTCATGATGGAGAAATGAATAGATGATTATACCTACTTAATATTGATGCAGACTCACTAAACACTACATCCCTTATTTTATAAACCCTTTGACTTCATCAAATCTTCAAGATCTTCACTATCAACACCAGTCTCCCCCTATTTGATGAAGACAAACTCCTTTTTGAATCCTACAGAGAAGTCACTGTGTGTTTTTGTGTTAGTGAGTTTATTCAATATTTATTTCTCCCCCTTTAACTTCATCAAAAATAGAGAAAAGAGCAGTTAATCAAAACAAAGCATGCATAATACATTAATGGTTCAAAGTGTTAGAAGCTAGTAAAATATTACAAACCCTGAAGAATTAAAAGAAGAAAAACAAAAAAATAAAAAGGAAGAGAGTTGTGATAAAAAGATGGACATTATTTTTCTTTCTCCCAGATTTTGATCTCTTAAACATTCTAGCAGCAAGAATTTGAGAGAAAGATCGGGTGGTTAAAAGAAGAGAAGAAGAAGTGATCAAGAAGAAGAAGAGAGTAAGTATGAGTTAAAGAAGCAGAACCCGGTTTTGAAAGAAAAACAGAGACCGAATCTCCTTCATTCAGTAGAGCATGATTGCTCCCCTTGGGTCTAAGCACCCATGCTATGACGAAGGCCAACAACCTTTGTTCTAGCCTCATCTTCCCTCAAAGATATTCCCCTTGGACACCTCGACTCCTTCATCTCGGAGATCAGCTACCTGCTCCAATATTCAAAGATGAATTCTGGAGTTCGTGAGACAATAAATGAATTCCTGTTGTGTTTCCAGCTTTTTCTCAATTGAAATGTCCCCTTTACCGGCTACAGTTGTACTGAATTGGACAGTGGGTTTGCAACATGTATTTGTTCTTTTAGGAGGATAAGTATTGATTGGTCAATAATGCTTTTAATAGTGTTTCTGGATTTAGCAGATAACGAATCTTGATCTTCAATCCTTGATTGACTATTTAATTTCCAAAATCCTACAATTAAAAGACTCTGGAACAATTTTCAAGAATAAACTAATCAATTATTTTACCAATTAATCAATTAATTTGATCTGGATATAGGTTAGAAATATAATGACAAAATATTAATCGATTAAAACGAGAAAGAATTGATTAATTTTGTACCAATTAATGAATTTAACTGATGTAAATCATATTTTAATCGATTAAAACAAAAATGAGAAATGTAAACTGAAAATCCAAGAGCTTTTAATCGATTAATTCGAGGAATAATCGATTAAAATAGTACAAATAGTTTTTCGAAATTCTTTGTAAGTGAATTTAAGCTGATTATTTTGAGAATTTAATTGATTAAAAGAAAATAATTTTGCTAATTCCAGTATTTTAATCGATTAAAACTATTTTATATCAAATAAATCTAATTATGTAATGTTTGCCACAAGCAAAATGCCTAGTTCAATTCTAATCATATAGAAACAATTACTAGCTAAAGGTTTTGTGAAAATAGGAGCTAGTAGTCTATATTAGTTTCTATAAAAAGAATAATGCACATTTACCATTATCTTTTCCAAGAATTCTGCTATTGATGACACCTCTATAAACAATTGTTCCATCACATTTAAGTTTCAAATAATAAAATTTGGAAATATCTTCAATCATGTGACTTGAACAACCATTGTCTAGGTACCAAAGATTCTTCAGTTTGCTGTTCCTGAAAAAGAATAATGATTTTAGTACCCTTTTGAAGATAATAAGGTCCACCTAGGTTATTTGCAATAATTTCTTGGGAACCCATTTCATTCTTCCTTTTGGAACTGCATATTTCTTAATTTTGAAAAATTTCACAAAATGTCCTCTTTTCATACAATAGAAACATGTAATGAATGGTGAGGAGGCATTTTCTATATGAAAAGTAGTTTTTAAAGCTCTAGTTTTCTTGCCAATGATAGGTGTGAAACCAATACTAACGCGATCAATAACTAGCTTTTGAGATCCAAGAAGAACATCAAGATTTGTCTTATCTTGTGCAAATTATGAAACAATCTTTACCAAATATGCAATTTTCTTTTGCAATTCAGGACAATTTTCATAGGGTTTGATTTCTTTACACAGGCAGTTAGAACTATTATGAATCATTTTCAAATATTCATAATCAGTTTCTTCTTCAAGAATTTTCTTTTCGAGAGAGTTGACTTTTTTTTCTAACCAGTTGTTTATGCCCTTTAATCTATTATTCTCTTTCTCAAGCCTCTTAGCTTCTTCATACATTTCGTTAAAGACATCTTGTAAAGAATTATAATTCATGGAATTACGAGAAGAGGTAGAACTTACACTGCTGGTTGGAGAGTCAAGATTAGCCATCAAACACAAATTTTCTTCTTCTTCATCTGAATTTTCTGTTGATGATGTATCATTATCATCCCAAGCAATATAGGCGATCTTTTTCATCTTTTCTCCTTTCTTGTCTTGATTCTCAGATCATTCCATTCTCACATGCCCCTGTTTACCACAACCATAACACTTATAATTAAAAGAATTTGAATCAGGTTTCTTTTGAAAGCACTATGGGGAGATTGAAAGCACTCGGGAAGATTAATAACAATGTGAAACATTTCCCTACATTCTGAAAAAGATGATTTTGATGAAGATTCAAGTCAATATCATTCAAGACTCAAGCAAGTCGAAGTTAAAGATAAAAATAATATTCTACAATAATTTTTTAAAGTAAAAAAAAATAAACAAAATTATTTTTTTATTAGTATAACAACTTAAGATGTGTAGTATAATATAAAAATATGAAATATTGATATAATTTTTTTTGTTATTAATTAGTTAATTATTTTAATATTTTATAATATTTTATTTTGATATTAAAATGTAAATGGAGTAATTCAAGTTAATGGTTAAAGAGTTTT